GACCCAGGAGAACAGTCATCTCAAGTGCCAGGCTCACCTTATTTCTGGGCCCTCCTGTCTGGGGAATTCTTCATAGATCTCTTATGCAAATTTAAAGCCAACACTTTCCCCAGCTTTGTAATTGTCCTCAGCCTTACATCATGTTGTCTAGTGCAAATTTTCCAAATTTTGGTGACCTTACTTATCTAATGTTTCCTCTGTTCTTTTAGATACTTAATTTTTTCCCTGCCATTTAATGAGATTTAGGGAGGACCACAAGATAAAAATGTAAGGATGTACAGAATCATTCCCTTAGCTTATATCTTCTTGGATCCTGGTCTGGGAATTAATTCTACATTGTCTTGTTCACTCTGTTATGTTCCGAGTTGATAACCATTGTATCTTATTGCTTAACCTAGAGAATGGCAAATTAGGGCCTGTGCATTTTTCACATGGCCGGGCCCATGAGCTACTAAATTAAAAAAAAAAAAAATCTTAAACTTTTGTTTTCAAATAGTTGTAGATTTGCAAAATAGTTGTAAAAATGGTACAGGGAATGTATGGTATGTTTGTCACAATTATTGAACCAACATTGACACATTATTAGCTAATGCCTCTACTTAATTACATTTCCTTGGCTTTTATGTAATGTGTTTTCTGTTCTGGTATATCACAATACATTTAGTTTCTTTAGGCTCCTCTTAGCTGTTACAATTTCTCAAACTTTCCTTGACAGTTTTTAGGAATATCAATTACTGCACAATTTTACTTGTCTGCAGATGTCCCTTAATTGGACTTGTCTGATGTGCTCATCACAATTAGACCAACATTGTGGGTTTTGGGGGAGGAAGGCCACAGAGGTAAGTTGCCTGTGATACACAACAAAGTACTACGACCTGGGTGACTTGAAACAACAAGAACTTATCGTTCTTCACAGTTCTGGAAAGTCCAAAATCAAGGTGTAAGCAGGATCAGTTCCTTTGGAAGTCTGAGAGGAATAATCTGTTTCATTACCTCTCCCTAGCTTCTGGTGATGGTCGGTAATCCTTGGCTTGTAGACACATCACTCTGATCTCTGTCTCTGTATTCATATGGCCATCTTCTTTGTGTGTCTGTGTCAAAATTGGCCTCATCTTTTGAGGATATAAACCATATTGGATTAAGGCCCACCCTAATGACCTTGTCTTAACTAACAATACCTGCAAAGACCCTATTTCCAAATAAGGACACAATTATAAGACTGAGGCTTAGGACTTGAATACATATTTTTGAGACATAATTAAACTCTAACAGTACCATTATCATTACAGCATATGAAGGATATCCGCTATCAACATGGTTTATCACTATTGACACTTACCTTGATAATTTGGCCAAGTTAGATTTTTATCAAATTTCTCCACTGCAAAATTACTTTTCTTTTTCTCCACTTCTCTATTGTTTTTATCTTTGGAAGGAAGTCACTATGTATAGCCCATAATTTATTAATTGATTTTGGACTTGATTTGGGGGAGCTATTCTCCATCTCCTTGAAGACAGATTATCTGAATAAATTACTCAGAATTCTTTTGTAATTATTCATTTTTTTCAGATATGTATGGACTCCTGTATATTTGTTTAAGACTTTGGGTTAGAATCCAATACTATATTATTTATTTTATTGTTCAAATTTCCCCACTGGAAGCTCTTTCAGTTGACTTCTGTGTCCCTTGAACATGTTTCCATCATTGTGATTCCTTTCTCTTTCCCTTTTCTTTTCTTTTTCCTTCCTTCTTTCTCTTTCTTTTCCTTTCCTGGAGATTGAACCCAGAGCCTCACATATGTTAGGTAAGTGTTCTACTTTTGAGCCACATCCCAGCTCCCATCATTGTGTTCTTTTTGTTCTTTCTTAGTTTCTGGCACTAGAACATATTTCAGGCTCATCTTGTATGGAGTCCCTACGAGTTCTCTGGAATCAGCCATTTCTCCAAGGAACCCCTGATTCTTTTTATTAGAAACCAAGATGTAGGTGTGAGATCTACTTGTTGCTACTGCAGTGTCATTGTTTCTAAGTCCCTCTCAGCTAACATAACAAGAAAATATGTGTGTTTCTACTAATTTATGTACAAACACATATTTAAGAGTATTTCTACAAGATGCATTCATATCTATATTAAGCTAAACATGAGTTCATATGATGTCTTCAACTTTCATGGAAATCATGGACATCATTCTGGGTTTCTCTTGCTTGTCTGTAACTTTACATTTTAACAGGGAAACATCTTGCTCCCACCATCCTCCATCCATTTGCTTAATTGTTCAATTTTGGTATGTCTGTGTGGTATGACCTGAGAATTATTGATCCATACCCCCATGAGAAACAATTTTACCAACTAGAGTCCAGTTTTTATGTGTAGTTCTTTTGTCTTTAGACTTATGGTTTCCACTTATTTCCAAAGTTTCAAAGTTAGGTTAACATGTTTTCTATTCAACCTGTTCAGTGAGGTTATTTCCTACATTTGTAATATAGTTAGATTCTTTTATCAGTGTTCATATATCATTCTGGGATCTTCTGACCACTTATATGATTTCAAAGAAAATTACGTGCATAAAGGTCCATTCAGTGCTGTGAGCACGTGCACAATGACATGGATCCATCATTAGAGCATCACACAGGATAATTTCACTATCCCCCCAAATCCCTTGTGCTTCACTTATTTAAACTTCCCTTCCTCAAACCCCTGGCAATCACTGATCTGTCTATTCTCTACAGTTTTGCCTTTCCCAAATGTCATATAAATGAAATCGTGATGGTTAATTCTGTGTGTCAACTTGAGTGGGTTAAAAAATGCCCAGATAGCTGCTAAAACATCATTTTGGGGTATGTCTATGAAGGTGTTTCTGGAGAAAATTAGCATTTTAATTAGTAGATTGAATAAAGAAGAACTGTGTACATACATATGTGTATGTGTGTTTATATACATTTTTTCCTTTGTATTGTCTGTTTTATTGCAGAACACTGACTAAAACAGTAGTTAGTTCCTGGCTTACTTTTTGGGGTGTGTTTCCAATGGAAATACAGTTTCAGAACCAATACAGAGAGATTCTGGTTTGCTCTGTTCACCTGGTACTGCTGAGACTCCTGCTTGATCCTGCTGGTCCTACTTTCAGTTTTTCAGGCCTGTTCCTGCTAGGTGGGGTGTGGGAGCATTCTGGGCCTTGGGGCAGCGAGTGCTTCTCTGAGCTTGCCCTCTGGACTGCTTGTTTTCTGCTGGTGTTGCTTGAGGGGTGGAAGGGGCTTTCCTGGGCTCTTTAGTACTGCTAGGTGGTAGGAAGAGGATGCTGGGCCTATACAGCAGAGAGTGTTTCCCATGGCCTGCTCTCCAGGTCACCTGGTGCTGATGGCTTTTTCCTCAGTTTCTACTGTTGCCCCTCAGAAAGTGAAGCATCCACCTGGGCTGAGGAGGGTTAAGAAACATTGGGCATGGGTCACTGTGTAGGTTAGGAACCTGGACAAGGCTTAACTGGATCTTCTCTCACAAGGCAGAAATCAAAGTGTTAGATGGCAATGAGGTCTCATCTGAAGACTTGACTGGGAAAAGATTTGCTTTCAAGCTCACTTATGTGGTTGTTAGTAGTAGTCAATTTTTTTAGGGTTGTTAGACTGAGGACCTCAGTTTCTTTCTGGCTGTCAGCTGGAGGTTGTCCTCAGTTCCTTGCTATGAGGGCCTTTTCAACATGGAAACTAACTACCTCCAGGGCAGCAAGAAAGTCTGCTAGTAAGATGGAAGTCACAATCTTACCCAACCCAGTCATGAAAGAGACATCTCTTATTGGGTGGAAGCAACTCACTATGTTCAGCTCATACTCAAAGGTAAGGAGCAGGGCAGCCATATTATACAAGAAGATGAATGCCAGAACTGTCTCATTTGGGGTCCTCTTAGATCTGCCTGCCACAGTTGTCATCAATATTCTTTACAATTTTAATGTTTTATAGCTAATAATACTTACTATTTAAAGAATACTTACTAAGCTTCAGTTTTTCTCCCATAAAAGGGACAAAAATAATGACTTACTTTGGTTTTACAGCCTCTAGTTTTTCTAACTCTTCTATGTCTCACTAAACTTATGAAATTATTTATGACATAATTGTGATGACTATATGTTCTTACAGAGTAATCACTTCCTTTCCTGAGTCACTATTGCATTCTATCTATAGCTTCCTGTGATTTTTTTAGCACTTTTAAACTTGCAAAAGAAACACTAATAAATAGTCTTATCGCCCAGAGGACAAATTTTTTTAAAACATTTTCCTATCTATCCCTAACTGCACTCAGAAGAGTACTTTTACCTTAGAGTTCAGTAAATGTCTACTTAAACAATAACACTCCTGTAGCATTAAGAAATATGAACTCAAGATCTCTCTTTATAACAATAAAAGTAAGATATTTATTTGAAAGGATATCGGTTTTTGTTTGCTCTTTCCTTTTTCTGGTACAGGGGATTGGATCCAGGGGTGCTCTAACACTGGGCTACAGTGCCCATTCTTTTTATTTTATTTTTTTTTATTTTGAGACAGAATCTTGCTAAGTTGTCCAGGCTGGTCTTAAACTTGCAATCTTCCTACCTTAGCCTCTGGAGTAGCTAGGATTACAGGTGTTTGCCACCAAGTCCATCCTAGAAAAATATCTTTAATTTGCCTAAATTCAGTCAGATGTTAGACTGATTGAATACTGATTGAGGTTATTAATCACAAGCAATGTATATCACAATGCTGAAAAAATCATAAATATCTGATGTACAAGTTTTTGAATATTAATTTTTTCCTTACACATTTATTTTGATGTTGTATATGTATAAATATACATATTTCCTCCTGAACTAGGGCCTATGTTTCTTCATAAAAATCACTGTATACCTCCAAAGGTATTTCCACATTATTTGTAATACACATATAATAACATTATATAAGTAATAATTTCACAAGAAAATATCTTCTATTTATTCTTTATCCAGCCCAGGTAGAATTAAACAATGCAAAATTGGAAGGAGAAAAGTAATTTATTTTTGAAGTTTGTACATTTTTCTGAGTTTCTGAAAAACTCAAAAATTTCACAAGTTATATAGTTGAGGAATTGTTGTGATTCCTTTATTAATGCAGAAGCCTAATGTAACTATCAAGTCATTTCTGACTGCCATACTATTTTAACATGTTTTATTTGTGAAGGAGTTTTAAATTTTGGATCCCAATTGTATTCTGGTGATAACAGTTTAGTGGGTTTATTGACAAAAAAATATTTGTTTAGGTAGCTTTCATACATGCAGTTAAGTTCTTTTGTGGTGTCTTGCACAAATCCTTTTAGATATTGTCTAATGAAGTTTAAAATCATACGTGGTGTTCCACCAAAAATAGCACGATGGTAATAGAAATCTCCTTGTCCGAAGGGAATGAAAGCTGTTGATTTATTTCTTCTCTCATAAGGATACTCTCTAGTATTTTTAAAATACCACCATGCATGGAGTTGAGCTACTGATTTGCCCAGAGATTCTACTCCAAAATCACTCTTAAAGATCTGGTTTATAGTCATAATGTAGAAAAAGTTGACTTCATGCTGGATGCTGTCTATGAGATTCACACTCAAAGTCTTCATGTATATGAAGTCACTGTCTGCCAATGATCCTTCTTCAATTAGAGGCAATATTTTATACGTTCTGAAAGTACCTAACTCCACTAGAGGTATTCTTTTGATGTTATCAGTGAAGATATAGAAGATAACATTGTAGCCAACCATAAAGTGCTTATTAGCAGATTCTAGGAACTGTTCCAGGTATAGATTTGTAAATCTATGAAACATGAAAAAAGGGATTGTTTTGCTACAATTCATCAGGAGAATATATGTCACTTAGCATGCTAACGTTTGCATCAAGGATGGTAACAAAGGTAAGGGTAAAGAGAGGCTGGGTCTACAACTTCAACTATATTTGTTAGTGAAAAAGACCTCAAGTACATGTATGAAGACACGAATGGTGTGGCTCTACTTTGTGTATAATAAGAGACATGAAAAATTATGTTCTATATGTGTACTATGAATTGAAATGCATTCTGCTGTCATATATAACAAATTAGAAGAAATAAATTACTTTTAAAAAAAAGAATGGGAACATGAGAAGAGCCATAAAGTTTATTGTGAAGAAAGAGAGTTAAATGGATATTAATGAAAAGGTTTAGAAGTAGCATTAAGGACTCAATTAGGCTTGAGAAAATAACCACTATACAGTTAGACAGCCAGAAATAATGATCAGGGTTAATCATAAGTAGTTCTTTGCATATAGAAAGACCATGCATGTTCATCCATATTTTTCCAAAATAAAAAGGACAAATATTAGTATCACCTACTTTCTAGTAGCAAGTGTAGCCAAGCCTATGGTAATGTTCAGCCTTTTGTAATATTTTTCCAGGACCTGTCTATTGTAAGTTTCTTGCCATATGATTGGAGCATGCCAGTCAGTTATTGTTATAACATCAGAACGTTTTCTGTGAAACAGAGAAGAAACAAATCAAGCAACGTCACTTTTTTTTTTTTTTTTTAATGAGAGTAGAAGTTGTCCAAGTGGTAATAGCTAGAGGTTATGGAGCACTTACTGAATGCCACGCACCATGTTTAAGTGCTTATATAACAGTGAATCCTTTCAATGTCCTGTTATTATTATTAAATGCTTTTATTATCGTTATTTTTCATATGAGGAAACATGGGTACAGATTAATTGAATAATTTGCTTAGTACCAAACAGCTAATAAATGTCAAGGTCAGTATTTGAGATCCAGCCAGTCTAGCTTCAGAGTCTGTGCTTTGGTTGTTCTCCCATACTGCCTTTTGAGCTCAAGGGTTATTTTCTTCAAGCTCTAACTATATCTTAATTTTAGGAAGTCCAGTGTCTGAACATTTCTGTGATTATTTCCTCAAGCAAATAGTACCAATGTCTCCTTATGTATTCTTGTTTTTTTCTTCATTGTCCTTTTTCTTTTTTTCTCTCTTCTTTTCTTGGGAGATCTAGAATACTCCCTTTCAACTTTTCCCTAATGTTTTAGACCCATATATGCAACCTGGAAGAAAATGAGGTTAGTCCAAAAAGGGAGAAAAACATGAGGTTTACTTTTTTTTTTTTTTTTAATGATGCTGGGGATTGAACCCAGGGCCTTGTGCATGCTAGGCAAGCACTCTTACCAACTGAGCTATATCCCCAACCCCAAGGTTTACTTCTAATGATAACAAAATGATGGAAGAAACAGCAGTACTAATAAATAATTTGAATGGAGGAGGGTATTAAACTATTAAAGCAAATTAAGACATATATTTTGGAAGGAATTGAATACAAAGTCATTTTTATATTGGGGACTGCAAGCTTTAATTACTAATATAGATCTAGACAGGGTAGGTTTGGCAACCCTTACTAGTTATTAATAATGGTTATTATAATATGTAATAACAAATCCTTCAAAGTTCCCTCTCTTACTAGTTTAGAGATTCTTTAATTTATATATTTATATATATGCAATACTAGGATTGGGCCCAGGGGTGCTATAATTCTGAGCTATATTTCCAGTCTTTTTTTTTTTTTAATTTTAGTTGTAAATGTACAAAATACCTTTATTTTTATGTGTGAGGTGAGCATTGTGCCACTGAGCTACAACCCCACCACTCCAGTCTTTTTCATTTTTTAATTTGAGACAGGGTCTTACTCAGTTTTCCAGGTTGGCCTTGAATCTGTGATCCTCCTGCCTCAGCTGCCTCCTGTAACACCATGCCCAGTTTATACAATAATTTAAAAAATCCTCTATACTTACAGCTTTAGGCACACATTCCTCCTTAAACAACAATCTAAAATTTTATCTAAAACCATCCAGATGTATCCTTGTCAAAATGATGGCAGTTATAAATTAGTATGCTAATTTATAAAAATATAAATTTGAAAAAAAATTAAAAATATCTATTTGAAAGGATTAAAACACTTTGAAGATTATTCCTTTTTTCTAAATATTGTGTAAATAAGATTTAAGGTTTGCTGCCAGATTGAAAAAAATATATCTCTGAAAGTAGGAGGCAAAAATCTGGGCTAATAAATTGTTTAATTAAAGACAAAACAGAAGAGGAAGTAGGAGAAGAAACATGAGTCATTATATTTGTAATTTAGATATAAAGCCCTTCACCTGGGAGGTAAATGCTGGCCAGAGGGCATCCTGTACAAAAAGGACTCTCAGTAGTCTGGTGACAAGATGACTATTCTTTGAACCTGTCAGCATCTTCCCTAGATGTCCTCATTGCTGGTTCAATGAGCCTCTATACAAACTGGCCTCAGGTACAGGAATGGAGATTACACATGGGCTCAATAACATGGACATCTTACTAAGGTTGTGCTATAACCAGTGCTGAGCACCCAATCTGTCACAGCAAGGGCTGACTCAGAGCCCACAGAATGATTCTGTTTCCCAGGGGAACTACCCAGCCATCTGATAGCTGTTTGACTACATTAGACGGCATCACAAAGGGGATATCACCTTTTTCTCTGGGAAAATACTTTTATTTTCTGGTATGGATTTGCTTTGTCTACAAATCTGCCAGCTTCATTGACTTGCAGAATATCTTATTCATTTTCATGGTATTACACAGTTGCCTCACCCACATGTTTTATGGTAAGAAAAGTGTGGCAGTTGGCTCACTTTCATAATGTTCTCTGGTCTTCTACGTGCATTCCTTTTTAGAAGCAGCTGGCCTGGTAAAAAGTGGAATGATCAGTAGAAATCTCAGTTTCAGTATTAGTTGAGAGAGAATTCTCTGAAAGGCCGAAGTACTTAATGTCTGTAAGATGCCATCCACACTTTGAATCAACAACTGATATGAAATACTTTTTCTTCCAAAGCTACAATATGTAGTCCATAAAATAGGGTGGATTTGGGAATGCTCTTGCTCATGGTTACACCTTATAACTCACTTATGGAATGTTTGGTTACCATTGTTATGACCTTGTGTTCTGTAGGTTCAGAGTTCTTAGTTCTCAGGGGAGGAAGAGCTCCTTTAGGGAATAAAGTCATGGTTCCATAAAGCTAATAACAGTCATTTGAGGTTTCTCATGATATTGAGCCAATAGGCAGCCATAGCATTACTGTGCTGGCTGTGGCAACCGTTCCTCATCCCCAAGGAGATACTGAGTTGCTTTTTACACAGTGATGGCAAGGAGGGATGCATTTAGAACCCAAAGAATTATCTGGGGTGCCCCTTAGTACTCCCATTTCTAGTAATAAAGGAGTATTAATAAAGAGAAGTTATGGCATCTTGATAAGGTGTGATCACTAGGGGATCCTAATCTTCAGGAATGGAGGTTTGGGTCAGCATATCAGAACTGTGGCCATCAAAGATATTAGCATGGTTAAGGAAACCATGAAACTGATTATCATCTACCTCCTTTTATTGTCAATCTCCTGAATAGCTACATAAGCAGTAATTATGTTCTTTATTTTCTCCCTTTTCCCTGTTACCATGTATGAAGAGTACTAGAGGTGGCTAATGTTACAATTTAAATTCAGATAGGAATGTGACTGAATTGTCATCACCTCCTGATGATAGAGTACTGATAGGACTTTGTGTTTCTCTTATTTGGGAGACATAAGCTTCTTCATCCAAATGAAAGTGGAGAAATTCTGCTGAGTGGCAGAAGGCCTGGATTATGCTAGTTATTCTCCATTTACCTTCTCCTTATCCATTTTTACTCCTTCTCTGCCTGGCTGTATGCTCTGGGTGCAGATTTGTCACCCACAGTCTCTTTAAATAGGGTTTCCAGGGGGTTCTGATAATGAGAAGCACGAGGATAAGGTTAGAGGGCAAGAAGAGAAGCTGGGCTATCTGATTTCTTTCTCTCCCTCCAGGTTTGTTGAAACTTAGAAAGTGGCTGTGTCCTTCTGCCTTCAGCTTCTACTTGGATGCTCTTCTTTCATGGTTCTAGCAAACTCCAGTCTCTATCAATATCATTTCTGCTCTTGCCCATTTAGATCTGGGAGTGGTCACAGCTTCCTGCTGTTGCAAGCCTTTGGATGCTTCTTATGTCCCTTTGGGGTCTCTAAAAATCTCTACAATCCCATCATTAAAGTTTCTGTATCTCAGTTTCTCTTATACCCTGACAGATTTAGTATCTGAGGCAGTTTTAATGCACTGAATAAGGCCTAAGCAGATGATGTTCAGCAGGGCAAAAGGTAACCTAACCACAAAGTATAATATTTGCAATGAAAATTTCCAGAAAGAAGGTATACAAATAAAATGTTAAAAGTTTCTAGTATTATGGAGTATCATAGCTGTGATAAAGAAAAGGCATAGCAGTAAGGAGGGACGAGATATATATATATATCTCCTAAGATAGCAGACACATTACTAGTAGAAAATAAGTATTTAAATGAATTTGAAATTTCAATGCTAGACGGTATCAGTAAAATTTGATAAGAAATGATAGATACATGGGCTGGGGATGGATATAGTTCTGTTGGTAGAGTTTTTTACCTCGCATGCATAAAACCCTGAGTTCTAATTCCTAGCACCGCATTAAAAAAAAAAATCTGTCCCTGGGGTGGACTCAGCAACACATTGAAAGCAATAAATGAAGAAAAAAATTTTTTTAAAAATATATGATACATGATAATAGTGTGGGAGAGTATAATTTTTTCAAAAAGTATATTTGAACAGAAATAGTAGCAATTCCTCTTGTAAGTCACCATTATATTGACCTATATTTAGGAACAGGAAACTGAAATCTAAAAGGAGAAACAGAAGTGATACAGTAGAAATATACTATAAACTGATAGAATAGTGCTAGATCATTTTCAGGGTGTATATTACCCACATTTACTCTTGTTCCATTAGTAGTTTCTCCATTTCCTGCCTTTCTGGCTGGATTGTCATATTAGTAGCCCAGTTTGTGCCTTTCAATTTCTTTCTTCATACTTATGTAATTTTACAAATAACATGTGTATAATATATACATATACAGAGATACATATATCCATCCAGGCTTTTAAATTTTGTTTATTTTACGGTAGAGATAATGCATACTTTTCTGCATCTAGCTTTCTTCACTCAGTACCACCTTTTGGAAATCCCTCCAAATATTCTGAAATAGTTCTCACCAGTTACTCTTTATTTTGTTTTATTTTTGTGGTACTATGGATTCAACCCAAGGCCCCTCACATTCTAGGCAAACATTTTACCACTGAGCTACATCCCCAACCATTCCAATTACTTCTTATAGAATGTAATTTTTCACATTTCCAACAGTATTTTTCCTACATGTTTAGGTTCTAGATTTTAAAATTTTTGCTTTGATAAGTATAAATAATAGCTCATTCTTGCATTTTACATTTTTCTGATTTCTAGTGAATTTGAGCATTTTTTCATAAGCTTATTGGCCATCTCAATTTGCTGTACTGAGTTTCATGTTTCTCTCTTTTTTCTCAGTGATTTATTAAAAGAGTTTCTTATATTTAGATAATTA